TGTTCAAAATTTTAAAGATTTTCTACAATAAGAAATTTCTGTAATTGAGGGAAAATATAATCTTATTATAAAATGGTTGTCATTAAAATGTGTGCATAAACATAGAATCACAAGGAAACTTGAACATATAATAGAAGCATTGGTAAAATAGGAAGGTAGAAACCTGCCTTTCTAAATGATCTGCAATGTGATCTATGATTAGAATTGGATTTTTATCAGATTCTGGCTAATTATCAAACTAATAATTTTAATAGTAGTGTATTTTATTTAGCTATTTCTTTTAAGTGAAAGTTTATATAGCATGAAGTAGATGTAACAGGATTTATGAATTAGGAGACAGGATTTACATCATAAAGCAGACTGTCACTGGTCATAAGATGATCAAGAATTAGAAAATAAGCTGCTTTATTTGGGCCACTTTTGTTCTTTTTTATTATAACTATGGATGAGACAGTGATGAGAATGCCTAAGCAGATTAAATGATGCTGCTGCTGAAAGTGAGAAAATAAAGCTAAAATATAATTAACTTGGAGCAAAAGGTGACTATAGTCCAATCATTTTGACCAGGGATATTTGTTTTATGGGTATACATGTATATCTATTAAAATATTCTCACTGTCAGTATTAAAACACTTGATTGTTAATAATTCTAAAATGTTGCTTAAAGGAGTTGTTTTTAAGACAGATTTGCTAATACAATGCTTCTTAGGAATGCTTCTATCATAGTTCATTAGAACGGATTACATTATTACTTTCATACTAGCAGCAAAATATCAGTGATATTGGTAAACTGGTATGAGTGTTGCTTTCTAGTAAAAAATAATGATACCTGAAAACGTTCCTATGGATTACACCACTTGCATATCAATGGTAAACATAAATCATTTTAGGGGAGTAAGCAACTCAGTTATATCTTGTAATGTTTCTCTACAGCATCTGTTATACTCACTTGCATCCAGCTGGTGCTTAATAAATATGAACTGATTCACTGCCTTAACTCTTTTTCTAATTAAGCACTTATGAAATGTGGCTGGTACTTGAATTGTACTAGGCTCTTTCGTCTTCTAAACATCGGCCCCCAACCTTTTTGACACCAGGGACTGGTTTCGTGGAAGACAATCTTTCCATGGACCAGGGGTCGGGGGGGTGGGAGAGATGCTTCAGGTGGTAATGCGAGCAATGGGGAGCGGCAGACGAAGTTTCACTCACTTGCCCACTGCTCACCTCCTGCTGGGTGGCCCTGGTCTGTGGCCCAGGGGTTGGGGACCCCTGTTCTAATAATTATGATATTATTGAATAATAGTTCTCTAAACTGTGGTAGTTTGAAAGAGAAAGTCACTAATATAATTTAAATCATTTATATATATTTGCATATGTGTTTATTAAAGGTGTCACACCACTAAAGGTGATAATTCTCTTTTGTAAATCTTTAACGAAGTAGAGTGCATTGTAGACTAACTGGTTTGTAATTAAATATGCAATAAAATGAAAATAATGCAAATAAATGCAAAGATATAGAAGGAACGTTTATTATGTTCCCTCTGGACATATTCTTTTGGATTACTCTAGGAGAAATGGGATAAAAAGAACAAAATCATTACTAAAAATAACATGAAAGAGCAACTCATAAGGTATGATATAGAAAATGCTTTATAATTATATAGTATGGTCAACCATAAATAATAAATTGTTTTAATGAAACCAAATGAAAAAAGGTTTGCTTTATAAAATGTCATCCATCTATCAATATTGGCATTCATGTATCAAAAAAGAAACTTGGGCTTCCCTGGTGGCGCAGTGGTTGAGAGTCCACCTGCCGATGCAGGGGACACGGGTTCGTGCCCCGGTCTGGGAAGATCCCACATGCCGCGGAGCGGCTGGGCCCGTGCGCCATGGCCGCTGAGCCTGCGCGTCCGGAGCCTGTGCTCCGCAACGGGAGAGGCTACAACAGTGAGAGGCCCGCGTACCGCAAAAAAACAAAAAAGAAACTTATTCTAGGGAAGAACATGTTTCATTAAGGGAGAAAGTCTAGATTGCAAGTTCAACTAGGTGGAAAAATATTTTGCAAAAGTTAATGTAAAAAGTATATTTTTTTAGTATTCTAAGGAGATTAAAATGTGGGGATTACTGCCGTATTACTGAAACAAGGAGAGGGGATGATATACATAATCATCGTAATAAAAGGTGATTTTACATTTGAGGAAACTAAAGAGTAGTGAGACTTGCATGTAGCCACAGAGCTCCTAAGTGACGCAAACTTTAGGTCCCAAGTCTTAATCTCTATATGCAATTTATTTGCATGTGACCCATTATCTTACCTGTCTTTCCCTAAAATTATTAATTTTGGGGACTAAAGCATAATTTTTTCAGCTTCATGTTTTTAACCAAACTAAGTATAATTTACATTTACACATACACATAAATGCATAACTTAGTCTGAGTGATATCTAAATTTATCTGGATGAAAATTCCAAATTCTTATTATATATTCAGCATATAATTAAATAGTGATTATGCCATGTGTACCACATAGATGCAGATAATATTTTCAGCATTTTATCATCTGAAAATATAATTTCAGTTGCAAAATAGAAAAGCTATAGCTTTTCTATTAACATTCTATAATGCCTCGTCAGGAAACCTAACTACCAATGACAAGCTTTCAGGAATATATAATATATGTTATACAGTGTGTTTCATCCACTCTTACCAAATATTTTACTTATCCTGCTACTTTGTTTTTTAGTAAATAGTGCTTACTTAGCTCTCCATTATAAATAAGGTAGGGAAAGTGTGTCACCAGGAACAAAGAACATGATCAAACACTTCAGTTGATCATGCTTTCATTCTTTCTTACACTCATGTAAACCAAGTCACAGGGACTTCAAGCATTTTTTTTCCCCACCTACTTATTCTTAAAGTGGGACCCAGCACTTCATTATATTTCTAAAACTAATATCCAAATCTGCAAAACAACCCAATAAGTCTAGATTTTAATATTTAAAAAATTTGTGAACAAGTTTCTGCTTTATAATACAGACCAAATTTAGACATCTCATTAGATCTCTGCTCTAAAATTTAAGTTCCATGCCCCAGCCTGCTTAGCTTCCTGACCCTATTTCCAGTATGCAGCCTTCACTTCTCAAACCCCTTCTTTTGTGTTAGATCATATAGTTTTGCTCTTATTTTGTTCTCACCAAGCAGTGCACATATTCAACAGTTAGATGAATCATCCCCCGGAAAACAGCTGAGTCATTGTTTATTATATAAACTTATCATTTAGGGCTCTCAGTCCTCACACTGCATGAATGATCATAGAATTCTCATAAAAACCAGATCTGGGATGGGTGGAAGGAGTTCTGCTTCTGAAAATAGTTAAGATTTTTTTCTGTATTGTTCCTCATTCATTGATTGACTTACAAAATATTTACTGAGTACCTGTTTTGTACAGAGTACTAAGTTAGCAACTTAGAGATATAAGCATTAATTGAAAGAGTCTTTTCTCTCAAGGAGCTTATCATTGTGCACTGGGGAAAATATGCAAATAATTAGATATAAGACATTTGGAATGAAATTCGTGCAAGCAAGATCTTATTGGAGCGCAAGGCAGGGATACACCATTTCTAATCGGATATCACTCAAGAGATGATATTTATATTGACTTCTGAAGAAAAATAAAAAATTGATAGATGGTAAGAGGAGTACTTAGGGAAAGTAAAATTATTAAAATGAAAATTATTAAAAGATAAAATTATTTAAATGGCACAGAGGTGAGAAATAGCTTTCCATGTACATGGAGCAACAAGTAATCCAATGTGTCCATAATCCATAATGACTTGAAAGATGAACTGAAACGTGTGTCTGAAAAGATAACATGGTACAAGATCATGGAGGTCCTTGAACTATAAAATAAAGATTTTGGAACTCACCATATAAAGAATGGGAGCCATTGGTATTCATTTAGCAGAGAAATGACATTGTAGCCTCTTGTTCCATTTTTTTTAATTTCACACCTGCTGCTTTTTTTGTTTACTTCAACCTTCCACCATGGCCTTTCCAATCCCCCACACTGCTGTTTGGTAAAATCCATAAATTAGTTTGGTTCACCTCTTATGGAAGGTGTTTCACCTCTTCTGTTAGATGTTGCAGGACTACCTTTTCTCATCATAGTTTGCACACGTTTCCCATCTTCTTTCCTTGAGCTCAGACTATATATACCCTTTTATGATTTTTGTGTAAGAATCTTCTCTTTTCTAATCTACCTCTTTCACTTGACTTGAATTCACGGAGAATTTATCATTGGTCTTTGTATCCTCAGTGTCTTTCTAGCATGTTTCCTTCTAAGGACTTAATAAATTTTGGTTAACTGAATGCTCAGAACTGTGTCTTAGTAAGAAAATGTTGTCATTGATGAAGAAAGCACATTGCATAGACAACAGAATAAAATTAGAGATAATAACTAGATGGTCACTAAAGTGGGAGGTCATGAGAGGATAAAATAAGAAGGTGAAAGGATAAATGGAAAGAAGATGCCAAAGAGAGAAGCTGATTAGATGGGACAGAGGTATGAAAACTGATTTGAAGATGACCCTCGATAACTTGGGGAAAGGCTACATGTTATCAAACATTGGGTTGATCTTGCTAAAGGAAGATAAGAGCTCTCTTTTAAATGGGTTGTAGTTGATATATCTACTGGGGCATCATTTTTTCAGATATCTGGAAACCACAACCATTCCCTCTTAAAACAGAAATGTGGACTACTATTTCTTTTGTCTAAAAACCGAAAAAATTATCCCTAAGCAAGTTTGAGCTGTAATACTATAAGAGTCTATTACAGTGAGGAAAAAAATCTAACTAGAGATAAATGTACATCTCATCCTGAAAATATCTAGTATTTTCCACTAATCTTAAGATTTGGTGTTCAAAAGTTCAAGTTCTGTTTAAATCTTACTCAGTTGATTCAAAATTAATTATGTTATTTCTCTCTTGCTTTTCTACAGTATGCTGTCTGGCTAGTCCTCTGGGTTACGTGGAATGTGTTTGTTATCTGCTTCTATTTGGAGGCTGGGGACCTCTCAAAGGTAATTTGCCATCTGATTTGCCTGAGTCATCAGTTGTGTGTTAACAAGCCTCTTCCTAAGTAAGGCAGAGTCTCACCCTGCTCTTGTCACTTAGATGCACCTCGAATGAAGGTAAATTGAAAGATGTCCTCATCTATCTCTCTGCATTTCTACCATCAAAGAAACATTTCAGTGTGTCACAAAAATGTCATTTTATTATTTTAAGCAAAACTAAATGAAATATTGATTATTACGGTGACCATACTGTGTACTTTTAAAACATTGACTTGTAAGAGATTTCTGAAGCAGAGTAGGAAGTTTTTCAGAGATAAAATCTTGAAGATTTTTGAAATCACTTAGTTGGCTTATTACTCTGCTAAAGACTTTCCTGATTGGACCCAAATAGCAATGTAATAATTCAAATAATTAATGGGTTTTAGTTGAATAAAACTGTTACCAGAGGGATATAATTTATTACATAAATGAATAAAATAGACATTTTATTCTAAAATAATCTAGGAAGGACTTAAAATACTTACATTTTCATTTAGGTTTCTTTATTTTGTGCTGTCCTGTATGAGTGTCTGTATGTTTGTGTGTTTGCATATGTCTTGCTATTATATTTCTAACATAAATGCCTTACTATTGAAATAATGCAGTTTGTAGATCTCTAAAACCAACATCCTTCTTCTTTTGGAATGCAATTAACAGCAACTAAGTCAAATGAGATAATCCATTCAAAGTAGTAGTAAATCTTGCTTGAGACACTTGAGAGAGTTGTAAACTTGTACTTCTTCATATTAACTTTAAAAGATAGAGATTGTAAAATGTTCTTTTACCTCTCTATCCCTTAGATCAGAAAGACCCTGCAAAGATGTTGACATTTTTAAAACCCAGAGATGATAACCTGCTTTCAAAGGCTAAAAGAGCTAAAAAGTCTCCAGGAACTACCTTTGCAGGGCTATATATCTTGGTGGGCGGGGGATGGGGTGATGGTAATACACATTTATAATCTAGCATACAGGAGTTTCCCAAAGCACTCTGAGCATTTTCAAGTATGTTTATTTATTATTTAACTATGATATTGAGTATAAATAATCTCTTTTTTTCATTTTAACCATTTTATTTAATTTATTTATTTTTTCATTTTAACCATTTTATTTTATTTTTTTAACATCTTTATTGGAGTATAATTGCTTTACAATGGTGTGTTAGTTTCTGCTTTACAACAAAATGAATCAGTTATATATATACATATGTTCCCATATCTCTTCCCTCTTGCGTCTCCCTCCCTCCCACCCTCCCTATCCCACCCCTCCAGGCGGTCACAAAGCACCTAGCTGATCTCCCTGTGCTATGCGGCTGCTTCCCACTAGCTATCTACCTTACATTTGGTAGTGTATATATGTCCATGCCTCTCTCTTGCTTTGTCACAGCTTACGCTTCTCCCTCCCCATATCCTCAAGTCCATTCTCTAGTAGGTCTGTGTCTTTATTCCTGTTTTACCCCTAGGTTCTTCATGACTTTTCTTCTTAAATTCCATATATATGTGTTAGCATACGATATTTGTCTCTCTCTTTCTGACTTACTTCACTCTGTATGACAGACTCTAGGTCTATCCACCTCATTACAAATAGCTCAATTTCGTTTCTTTTTATGGCTGAGTAATATTCCATTGTATATATGTGCCACATCTTCTCTATCCATTCATCCGATGGTGGACACTTAGGTTGTTTCCATCTCCGGGCTATTGTAAATAGAGCTGCAATGAACATTTTGGTACATGACTCTTTCTGAATTATGGTTTTCTCAGGGTATATGCCCAGTAGTGGGATTCCTGGGTCATATGGTAGTTCTATTTGTAGTTTTTTGAGGAACCTCCATATTGTTCTCCACAGTGGCTGTATCAATTTACATTCCCACCAACAGTGCAGGAGGGTTCCCTTTTCTCCACACCCTCTCCAGCATTTGTTGTTTGTAGATTTTCTGATGATGCCCATTCTGACTGGTGTGAGATGATATCTCATTGTAGTTTTGATTTGCATTTCTCTAATGATTAGTGATGTTGAGCATTCTTTCATGTGTTTGTTGGCAATCTGTATATCTTCTTTGGAGAAATGTCTATTTAGGTCTTCTGCCCATTTTTGGATTGGGTTATTGTTTTTTTGTTATTAAGCTGCATGAGCTACTTATAAATTTTGGAGATTAATCCTTTGTCAGTTGCTTCATTTGCAAATATTTTCTCCCATTCTGAGGGCTGTCTTTTGGTCTTGTTTATGGTTTCCTTTGCTGTGCAAAAGCTTTTAAGTTTCATTAGGTCCCATTTGTTTATTTTTGTTTTTATTTCCATTTCTCTAGGAGGTGGGTCAAAAAGGATCTTGCTGTGATTTATGTCATAGAGTGTCCTGCCTATGTTTTCCTCTAAGAGTTGGATAGTTTCTCACCTTACATCTAGGTCTTTAATCCATTTTGAGCTTAGTTTTGTGTATGGTGTTAGGGAGTGATCTAATCTCATACTTTTACATGTACCTGTCCAGTTTTCCCAGCACCACTTATCGAAGAGGCTGTCCTTTCTCCACTGTACATTCCTGCCTCCTTTATCAAAGATAAGGTGACCATATGTGCATGGGTTTACTCTCTGGGCTTTCTATCCTGTTCCATTGATCTATCTTTCTGTTTTTGTGCCAGTACCATACAGTCTTGATTACTGTAGCTTTGTAGTATAGTCTGAAGTCCAGGAGCCTGATTCCTCCAGCTCCGTTTTTCTTTCTCAAGATTGCTTTGGCTATTCGGGGTCTTTTGTGTTTCCATACAAATTGTGAAATTTTTTGTTCTAGTTCTGTGAAAAATGCCAGTGGTAGTTTGATAGGGATTGCATTGAATCTGTAGATTGCTTTGGGTAGTAGAGTCATTTTCACAATGTTGATTCTTCCCATCCAAGAACATGGTATATCTCTCCATCTATTTGTATCATCTTTAATTTCTTTCATCAGTGTCTTATAATTTTCTGCATACAGGTCTTTTGTCTCCTTAGGTAGGTTTATTCCTAGATATTTTATTCTTTTTGTTGCAGTGGTAAATGGGAGTGTTTTCTTGATTTCACTTCCAGATTTTTCATCATTGGTGTATAGGAATGCCAGAGATTTCTGTGCATTAATTTTTTATCCTGCTACTTTACCAAATTCATTGATTAGCTCTAGTAGTTTTCTGGTAGCATCTTTAGGATTCTCTATGTATAGTATCATGTCATCTGCAAATAGTGACAGCTTTACTTCTTCTTTTCCAATTTAGATTCCTTTTATTTCCTTTTCTTCTCTGATTGCTGTGACTAAAACTTCCAAAACTATGTTGAATAAGAGTGATGAGAGAGGGCAACCTTGTCTTGTTCCTGATCTTAGTGGTAATGCTTTCAGTTTTTCACCATTCAGGACAACGTTTGCTGTGGGTTTGTCATATATGGCCTTTATTATGTTGAGGAAAGTTCCCTCTATGCCTACTTTCTGCAGGGTTTTTATCATAAATGGGTGTTGAATTTTGTCGAAAGCTTTCTCTGCATCTATTGAGATGATCATATGGAGTATAAACAATGTTGACTTTTTTTTTCAATTTCAAATGATGAAAGATAAAGTAAGAGGGTGATGTTATCATATGAAATAGACCCAAGGCTTCTGGAACCTGTAGTTTTATGAGCAGATTTTGGACAAGTCCTCATTGTGGCCCTCGGCAGTGTCTGCCCTGGTGGATGGCATTTCTGTATTCTTGCCGGTCATCATACTCCACATTCTCAGCAGCAGGCAGTCCTTTCCTGAACATGCTGTGACCAATGAAAAGGAATTTTTCAGGTGGCTCTAGGAAAGACACTTCATTTTCTGCTTAAAGCTCACATTCCCAAGACTTGAATTCCTTACCCAATTTATATGTCTCTGCTGTATAATCCACTTTGTTCAAAGAGATTCCTCACTAAAATGACTTTTAATGATATTTTCAATTTTAAATAATCACCTTAATAATTGGAGGACAGGCATTCAGTCATATTGGCTGAGTAAGATGATCTAGCAGATCAGAGTTTGTTTAATATTAAAAAAAAGAGGGAGAAATCTGAGCCAAGCTGGCTGCACAAATGTGTAATTTTTCTCACTGCTCTATGTGATGACTGCAGACACAAAATAAAGCTTGTGATCCCATGACCTTGGACATGGGCATTGAAACCATAACGAGGACACATCCTAAAACATTAGAGTTCAAGAGAGTTGCAACCCAAATGACTAAGAATTCTTCTAATGCACGCAGGCAGGTAATGACTATCCCATGGCAGTGAAGCAGTTAATAATATTTCCTTTTCTTTTCATCTTATAAACAAAGGCTAGACTCTGCAGAGCACATCAAAATTTAATAATTTCCTTTTAACAAATAATCTAAAGGAAAACCATAAAGGGCAAAGTTATATTGTTATCTGTCCTGGGATTTTCCTCCCTTTCCTGCTCAAAGGGTTTGAGAAAGGTATATTTATGCCATTTAATTCTTTAGCTTCTGCAACTACCTCACATTCTTCAAGTAACAGAGTGCCAGAAATAAGCAATGGTGATTGAAAAATGTACAGATATATAAAAGCTCAAAAATGGGACTCCTGAAACTGCTGATAATATTTAAGTTACAGAATATAAACCACATTTTCCCCTCACCTCACCCAAAAAAATAAACTAATTTGACCATAAGAATGGGTCAGTTTGTTTGAGGCTGAGGGACAAATATGGGAAACAGAATCAGGGAGGAAATCCTGTGGTCTTTATATATGTGAGAGAAGTAGGTTTGTTTCCATAAAACATTTTGTAAAGAATTGATTTCTTCATAATGAATATTGGCAAGAAATGATAAAATCGGTAAAATATTAAGGCAAACTTGAGTTACCCGTTAGAGTTTAGAATTTTTTGTTGTCCTTTTCCAGTGTCTTTTCTGCTTTTTCTGCTAAACTCTCTGCCTGTACTTATGAGAGAAATAGATATTAGCATCATTAATGAAGC